GAATGATTCTGAAACATTAGATTTGTACCATCAATAGTCATAATCAAGTCAAACATTATTAATGGTAGTCAAATATATATAATGGCATTATAGTAAATATTTTAAACTTTTATGGTCCAATATGTACAATTGACCACAAATTAAGGGTATAATGGTCATCACAAAGATTACAACTCATAGTGGACCCCACACCATCTCTCACACACTTAAACCCACAATAAGATCGGCACCCACGCACGCTTTTCACACAGACAACACACAGTCCACACACACAAACACACACTAGATCCGGCCACCATGACTACCGCCGGTGATCGACGGCTGCCGCCCTGCCATCAACCTTCCTCCTCCACCTACCGTCATCAACCTTCCTCCTCCGCCTACCGTCATGAATCTTCACGCAGCCCGCTGGTAGCTCACGGCCGCCGTTCGACGCCAGCTCCCACCCTCCGCCAACCGCTGCCGCCACCGACGCCGCCGTAATCTCCACCAGTTTTCGTCGCCCATCACTCTCGCGGCATCTATACGTATGTATATCCATCCCTCTCGATATGTCTGCTCGTTTTCAGTTTCTGTTCCAGAGAAGGCCGCCGCCGGCCTCCCTTCTCCGGCAAACTCAAACCAGGCTCCGGACGACATTACAGTCTGATACGCGTTCTCCGTTTGCTGTCGAGTTCCCATCATTCCTCGACGACAACGTCGAAGTAATAATTTCAAAGACCTAAATCACAGATTCACATAACTGCTAGTCTCAATCAAATTGGCCACGAGATTAGGCTTCAGGCCGCGCCCCCGAGATCAATCCACACGTCACCAAAGGTGGCTGACCTGAGCTCTATGGGCAGATTGGGATAAAAGCGAAGGTTGGATTGATGATGTGATTAGGGATTAAATTTTGAGAATTGGACAAGAACCAGGGACTAATGTGCAAATTAGGATAATATAACTATATTGCAATTGAGTTCTTATGTCAATTTCGTAATTTATTGAAATTTATTCAACACACAATATTGATTAGTAATTTGCACGGTATTAATACGAAATTATTAAAATTTAATAGAAACACAATAATGACAAGTATTTTTTCATAAACAAGACCGATATTAAATTAAAATAACTGAATGTTTAAAAGTTGAAATAAATAATCGAACTGATATATAAAGATCAAACAAAAAGTTTTAGTCCGATTAATTCCGTTTGCTCATGTGTAGTCAGACGAATATTAATGTGCAATTCATCCAACACTATTGTGCTTCGTTTTGGCCTATATTGTGCAGTCTAAACTGACCGTACTTTTGTTTTAGACCAAATTGGATCCAAACTAAATTATTTGGTTTATTCGGACTGTTAATCGAATTATTCTAATTATTAAAAACCAATTATTTTTTATGTTAAAACATAAGTAATATTTTAATATTTAATAATTTTTATATCTTGTTTGTTGAATAATAAATAACAATTTTAAATAAAAGATATGTAAAATTTATTATTGTGCAATCTGATAGTTATTAATGTACAACTCGTTTAACGATATTGTGCACTCAGATTGCATCTTGAGTTAGTTTAACTTTTGTCTCGAATCAAATTAAAATTAAATCAATATATTTAGTTTATTCGGCTTGGTTAACTGAAATATTTAGTTTATTTGGTTGGTAGAACGAATTAACTAAAATATTCAGAATACAATATTATTTAATATATTAAAATATATTTAGTATTTCTTATATATTTATTATATATATATATAAAATAAAAAATGCAGTAATTCGTGCGAAAAAAAAAACGTATGACTACATAACAATGTGCTTTTGATTTTTTCTGAATGGTAGAACGAATTAACTGAAATATTAAAAAATGCACAATGTTACAATTTTGTGCATTCCAATATACATTAATGCGCATTTAGTATAGAACTATTGTGCAGTATTTAGAACTATTGTGCAGTATTCCGATCTGGTATTTTTACTGCGTTTCATTTTATATAAAACTTTAATAATGTATAATTAATTAGCATTATTGTGCATTTATCAAAAAATATTGTCACTAGCATAACAATATTTTTTTATAAATATAAATTTTGTTACTGTGCATTTGATTTATCATTAATGTGCGGTCTTATATTCACTAGTGTGCATCTTAATTAATATATTGTGTAATATGCAATGCAAGATTCTTTCTAAAGTCTAGAGTTCAAAAGATGCTAGGCATTGAGCAAGTAGAAGTAGATGTCATAATAGTTATTGCCTCATAGGATTTGCGCTCCATCACAACACCCGCTTTGCGGATCTTGCTCTCAATGTCCGTCTTCGCTTTGGACCCTGAAACTTTAATTCATTTAGGCAATTAAACCATCGCTTTCTGGCTTTCCAGCTCGGATCTTACCCCAGGACAGCTCAGCTGTTGCCGACCCTTGATTAACATCCCTCAAGCCTTTAACTATCTACCTTGCCTTTATGCTTTCCTAACTCCTTAGCTAGAAGCAATAAAGCATTTCATTGACCGCCTCAAACTCGTGAGCAAAGAAAGCACGACACGAGAAATCGTTCTATTCGAAATGGAGTGGTGATGACTGTACCATTGACTTGGCAACCATTCTTGTCGGTCGACCTACAGAGGCGGCGACCAAGCTGATTGCCTTCTATGGATATATGGCGGCGGCGAGAGTGGACAATGGCGACAGCCGCTCGTGAAGGAGCTTCCCGACCTGCGAATTTTTAGTCACCGGCAGTGTTTGTGCGATTGTGGACGGCGGCAACCAGAGAGCGACGGACAGCTGTTTCTGCTCGTGTGTGTGTGGACCGAGTTGCGAACGACGGCGTGTGGGTGCGTATTCAGGCTCCGGCGACCGGCGATGTTGGTAAGCGGTCAACAACGCTGTGTGGTCGTGCGCTTGTGTCCGGCGTTCAGAGGCGGCGGCGTTCTGCTCGGTGGATGCGGCGGCGCTGCGTGGTGGTGGTCGGACGTTCGGGTTCGGCGGTGCTGTGTGTGCGTGGGTGTGGGACTTTTTTT